TTTACCCATTCAAGCCGTCTCCAAGCATTATTAGTATCAAAACTACATTTGTACATTGTTTGGCGGTCGTAGAAGTGATCACTTTATGAAGGATATGTAACAGCCCTTTCTAACGTAAGATATGCATCACTCAGATTATAAAGATGTGTTCAGATCGGGAATTGAGAATTTCTAAAATGGGGATATATATATATATCCCTTGTAATAAATGCCTATGGAAAACAAAGAACGATGGATCAACTTGAAAAACACATGAACAACAAGAAAAAGATCTGTGAATAAGTCATACTCCAGCCATTGAAACCAGAGTTCAGTGTCTTGTAACAGGCTAGAATCTACGAATACGAATGCCAGTGGCATTATCTATTCACGTGCCCCAGGCAACACTACGCAATATAATTAAGTAGTATTTTCGTCTGGAAAAGCTAAAAAGTTGCTTCCATGATATATCCATTCAACCGTCGCATACCTCAAGCAGTTAGAAACTAAAGCGGGTATTCAAGCTATTCCATACGAAAGCATACCGGTCAAATTGCCTGTGAATTTCTTTGCAATCGGACTGTTGAAAAAGTGTCCTCGTATACTAGAAGGGTTATGAGAAGCAAGTAGGGGGATTGGTGTGCTTTGGACATGACAGTCTTTCGGCGGAGCCTTTTGCAATGACAAATACACTGCAAGCAAGACTATTGTCAAGATAGACGGTCGTCAGATCGAGCATGATCTGACGTCATGATATAGACTACAACGATGTGGTGAGGCTACAAATTTATTCTAATATAACACCCTCAACCTAGAACAAATAAGAATAGAGCAAGTAAAAAAAAGTCTTTATGAATAAATAGCCCTTTATCATTCACAAAAAGGTTTGTTATCTAATAAGTGGAGTTTCAATTACAAAAAGCTCCTTTTCTTTTTTTTCTTTTCCTAAACACTTTGATATCAAAGTCTTATAATGTGAAAATTTTGATTTATTTTCCTTATATGAGACAAACAGTACCGATGTATCTAAAACTAGAACACCTTATTAATTGAAGTATGACATTTATTGGAACAGAAGAGTGTAACTCTCAATGATCCTTATCGGTATTACACAAGATAATATAATTGTATTCTTAATTAAGGGTTGTAAATGTTTGAAAACTGTGATTACATCTCAACAATACGCCAAAATAACACCAATAAACAAAACGATATAAAACAATGATGCGAATTTTAAACAATGATTCCAATAATTCTTACCTTATTTCTTTGAAAAGTACACACAGATGGATATATATATATATATGAATTGTTAAATAGTAAAGTTTAGTCTAGGAAAAAAAACTGAGATAGAAAATAATGGTTGGAGACGGCTTGAATGTATAATGAAGAAAACTTTTAATATAAGTTTAACATAACAGCAAGTACCTGATGATGACAAAACCTTTTCGAAACCTTGTACATTTGCTGTTATGTTAAACTTATATTAAAGTTTTTCGTCATTACCCATTCAAGCCGTCTCCAACCATTATTAGTCTCAAAGTGGGTTCCTCGTCATCGAATGAGATAGAAAATATTTCTTGAAATACCATAGCACTACTCTATCTGAGAATACTTTTATGAACAATGTGCAATTCACAAGAAATAGAAAATGCATAGGATTATTTTTCTTAAACATTAGAAGTTTTCCATTGAAGTATAAATATATATGCGTATATATTTATCTAACAATTAAGAAATATAACAAATGCTCACATGTCTGGTATTCATCATACTAGTAAATTTGTATTTTGTAATGCAGTGTTGAATAAATCAGTCTCTAGATAGACTATTTTCTTTTTCTTAAGTCTTAAATAGATATACAGTATATTAATCAAAAATGTAGTTAACTGGTTCTCGAATATATCATATAAAAATAAAGAGCAAGATGTTTATTATTGAAAAAAGACTAATAATTTTGTTTTTGTTTTGAATTAACTCAACCTACCTGGTTTCGACACTCGTGGTTGGCACAACAGAGAGAGCACATTGTGTGGCTTTGCGTTTAACAATAAACAAACAAAAACTCAACCTACCTTGCAGAGATGTGCAATACAGTGGCGCCATCTTTGTCTCTGTCCCACAGAAGACAGTCAGTATGCTTTAGTAGCCACACGAGGGCGTTTAATTTCCCCATGGCTGCTGCGTCGTGTGCTGGTGAAGCGCCAACAAAGGAACGAGTATTAGCCCTCATTCCACACTTCTTGACTAAAAATTCCAATACTTTAACATGTCCTCCACGAGCTGCATAATGAACACACGATGCACCAAATTCGTCTTGAATGTGAGGTGCCAGCTCATGGTTTCTCTGAAGCGTTTGAAGTCCTTGTAAGTCCCCTTCTTTAGCCGCTACCAGGGCACGGTGTAAAATAGTCATCTCTGGCATACTTGAAAAAAACGCTTCTTACTTCCTCTTTATCCGAAAATCTGTAAAACCAAATTCAAAAGATGAGATAATTTCAACACGATTTAAAATAATATTGTTACAACACTTCATTAAAATGTGAGGAAAATAGAAATAAATTAATAACAGTAGAAACACAAATAATATAGTGATTCATGTTTCAAGATTCTAATTAGTCATTCAGTTTTCAACATGCGTTAATAAACAGGTTAAACACCATCGTTTCTATAGAATTGGACAGGGCGTGGCTTAGTAGCTATCGTGCTCAGATTTTGAATCTGGCGATTCATGGTTCGCAGCTCTTTACCCCAAAAACTTGCTCCTCACTCTGTGGCCGTGAATGCAAGAAATGAGTGATAGTCGGATCCCACTATTCAGTCAACAGTAGACGTTGAGTGTTTGTTGACTAACTGCCTTTCTTCTGATTATTCACAGATAGCCTTTCATGTAGCTTTTCGCGAAATTTTTGACACAAACAAACATATTCTATGCAATTCCCTTTATTTCTGGCGAACATGAAATTGTAGCATAATTACAATGGATTACGCAAATTAGATATACATATTTATAACATCAATAATATAAATCCACTTAGGTGTGTTAAATTTTACATACGCGCAGCTTTAAGTACGAGGAATGTTTAAAAAAAAATAGAAGGGATGTGAAGCGATTAATGATCGTTCACCGTTAAAAGCATCGTATTTTCTCACGATAAGTTTGATTGTTTGTAGTTAAGCACAAAACTACAGAATGGGCTATATGCGCTGTGCCCACCATGAGTATCAAAACCCGGTTTTTAGCATTGCAAGTCCGCAGACCTGTCGCTGAGTCAATGGGTGTGTGTGTGGGGGGGGGCTCCCCGATAAGTGGAAGACAAAGCAATTACAAAATGACAACAGCAGTTTTGAACAAAATGCAATAATCAAGTTATCATTACATCTGTTCATAAGTTAGTTGCAATTATTAATTTACAGTTGTAATCTAAACACTTATCGTAGCATTTCTCAAAATATACACTTTGACATTTTGTCTAAATTATTTATAACAACTATAATGTGATATATACCGCCTCATACAGTACCGGAGGGGATTGAAAATTGTATTAGAAGTGATCGCATCAGGCAGTGTATAATGGACTTTAATGAGATGTAAACATTAAAAACACTAACAATTTACAATTTATAAAGAGTACATACTGCCCTCTTAAATCATGACACTCGTAAAACAGTTTTTTTTTCGCTCTCTCTACAATATCAGAGAATAAATAACTTGACACAATTAACTTGTATCACATCACAAAAAGGAAGAAAAAAGCTTTTCTTTGGAAATGTTTAAGATTGTTAATGGTTGTTTTTTAACCAAATAAATATTACATTTCTATCTGTAGTTCCTACATAATTTATCCATTATAAACATTTAAACACATTTTATTCTAGTAACTACCACTATTTCACTTTCTACTCTGCTTGCAACCTCTTTAACTCTGGTGCTCACCAAAATAATAAGCACTATTGATAATGTTATTTTCATTTGCTTCTGAGAACATTAAAATACGTGTAAATGTTACGTACTCGAACATTTACTCAACAATTCAAAGCTTATGATTATTTAATGATGTGTGAATTTCGATGAAGTTAGACCTAACAGAACACTTACTCTATAATTAAAACTTATGATTGCTTAATGTGGTCTGAATGTTGCTGAAATCAGGCCTAATTGAACACTTACTCTGCAATTCAAAACTCGTGATTACTTAATGTGGTCTGAATTTTGATGAAGTCAGAACTAATTGATAACTTACTCTGCGATTCAAAATTCATGATTACTTAATGTTGTAGGAATTTTGCTGAAGTCAGACCTAATCGAACACTGCAGTTCAGTTCAAAACTCATAATTACTTATTGTGGTCTGATTTTTGAGGAAGATTAAGGATTCCAAAGGCTGGTGAAACTTTGTGACAACTTGCAATATAAATGCTGCTACTACCTTTCTGATTTTGAAAGAGTTAATATTTAACTAAGTATTCCTTATTTAGTTCTCGTTGATCTTACACACTTTTACATCACAGCTTTATAGGATTTACCCTTTTGTATAACTTGGGTCTTTCTTTTTTTTTCAGTGGCGCAGCGGTATGTCTGCAGACTAAAATCGCTAGAAAACAGGTTTCGATACCCGTCGTGGGTAGAGCACAGTTAGCCCATTGTGTGGCTTTGTGCTTAATTACAAACAAACTTTTTTTTTTACATATAAAATGTTTTAATCAGATATCAATACTTTTTTGTTTTGACTATTATTTTAAAATCAATTAAAATTAAATTACTCCCCGCAGTGGGATTGAAACCATAGCTGACAAGAGAAGCACTATGAATACAGATACACTGCTTCATCTTCCTCTAGGTTCTTAAGTCGTCAGTAGCTGTGGAGAGTAATGCATCATTACAATTATTAGATATATATATATATATTTGTGCTACATTTGTTAAACTCTTTTTTTTCAGATTAATATCTACCAATGAAAATTTGTCTACGTGCCGGTCCTTCTTTGTTTACCATATGTAAACCCCTTTAACCAGAAAAATAACAAGAATAGCAATAACTTTGCTACTTTTGATAGTTTATTTCTCTTTAATAAAAATAGGTATGAATCAGCTGTTTTAATGTGATATAAGTTAGGTTTTATACAGTCTAACTTTTATTTCACTAACTATGAAAGAAGTCGCGAAGGATGCGCCACCGTCAGAAATTGTTTGTTTGTTTTCGTGTAGAGGTGCACGAGGGTTATCTGCACTAGCTGTCTCTAATTTAGGAATAAAATACAAGAGTGAAAGCAGCTAGTGGTCACCGCCAGGTCTTGGGGTACTCTTTTACTAACGAATAATAAGATTAACCATGAACATTATAACGCTGCCACGGCTGAAAGGGCGATCATGTTCGGTGGCAGAGGCTCGAACCCACGACTCTGAGATTGCGAGTGAAGCACCCTAACCACCTGGCCATGCCAGTCTGTAGATGTTTGTAAGATATCTATATAATGTTGATGAAAGAGTTTTGTATATCAACAAAATTTTTAAATTAACTTGTACGTAAGAAAGTTGTGGTATTTCTACTGAAACAGTGCTCTTAATGCTATTAAGTTATACTTACTAGCAAAATAGATACGATCAATAACATTACTTCCAATAATATCTTTATTATTTATTTCAAACAAAAACTTCAGCTGTTAGAAGTTGACAAAGTAAAGCTTTTCAAGGTCGTAAAGACAAGGTTAAAAACCCGATAATTTAGACTTTAACCAAATTTAATAATTTTATTATGAATCATTCAGGGTAATTTCTTTGAAATGTTTTTCACGGGTATAACATTTATATTTAAGTGATCGAGTTCATACGTTCACATAAAAGCATATCTATGCATTTCCAGAAATAATTCCGAACGTCAACAAGTAAAATTCGGACCAGAGATTATTGGTAATGATGCTTTTCTATCACTAAGAAAGTGTAAAAGATTATAATGATCAAATGACAATTTTAGAGTAGCTACCAAAGAGCCACATTATAAGTATGATAAGAACATTCTTATTTTAAACCTACCATTAACGAAACTTAGTTGTAGTTTTATGAAGTACAATTTTTATTAAATGTGATAAATTGTTCATGAAAAAGCTATTAAGCCAAATAAAGTTTACAACATATATGATAAATACGTGTCAAAGTATACGCAGGGTGCTGTCACGCACCCTTATATACATTTATATATAATATGACAGAAATATAGTTTGACAGAAAGATAAAAAGTGAAGAAACTGAATGAAAACTGTTACCCTAATAAATGTCTTTAATTTATACTCGAAATGTGGAGTTATTCCAAAAGTTTGCAACTGGAAACCATAGATTTAAAATCTGATAGAAGGACAAAGTTTATTTTTGCGCAAAGCTATACAATAGGCTATCTAAATTCTGTCTATCACGGAGAATCGAACCCCGGATTTTAACATTGAAGGTTCTATAAATTTATTTCTGGCTCACTTGGGAACAGGGGATTAACGAACAAAATAAAGTCACTCGTTAAATGCTCCATTTTATTTATTGAACAAAAAAAAAGGTCACGCAGAGAAAAACAAGTATGCACTCAAAACTGATTTGAGCATAGAGGATCACAATGCCAAGGGGAAACCAGGCTTAATATTAAGCTAATTTGTGCTCTGACCACTAGCTGTACCAGGACACAGAAATTGTGCCAGCTTTTTTTTTCTTCAAGGAACGTGATTACAACAGGATTAATTTTACCACTAAATACGGTTGATGTTGGTCGTGGTCATGTTCCTGTTTTTTTCTCTTCCTAAACAATTACGGAACGGTAGACCTACTGTAACTCCATCTGAACTAAACACATATATAGGTATACGCCCTTTATACAAGGAACGTTTCGACAATTCTCAGCAGTGATTATTTGGTTTAAAAGAAGTTGGAAACGTTCTAAATGGTATCATATTTATTAATTTGTTTATGGTAAATAAAACAAATATTTCAATAATGAGTTTAACACTTATCTATGAATATACGGACAATGCGGTATTCGCTGTGTAATTTTATTCTGTGGGTTTTAGAGTTCTTAAACTAATGGGTATCAGAGTTCCTGAACAAGAAGTTAAAGGTGTAACATATTTACATACGTGATTGATATCGTGTCCCGTAAACAACTGTGTAACCTCTTTATCAATAACCATTATAACTTTTAACAAATCTATTGTGTACCTGTTTACCGACTAGCAACATAACCTTTAACAAATTTATTGTGTACCTGTTTGCCGACTAGCATTATAACTTTTAACAAATCTATTGTGTACCTGTTTGCCGACTAGCATTATAACCTTTAACAAATCTATTGTGTAATTTCTTTATCAACTGGCATTACAACCTTTAACAAATATACTGTGTACCTGTTTGCCGACTAGCATTATAACCTTTAACAAATCTATTGTGTAGCTGTTTACCAACTAGCATTATAACCTTTAACAAATCTG